TTTAATATTGCGTTTCATTTTTTTGAGTGACAAACATCACTTTTTAATAAAAAAGATGTTGTATATACTTAATTTTATACAATATTTTTACTTTCAAAAATCTTTTTATATGATTAATAGGTTGGCTGAGTTGGTAGATGACGGTGATAATGAATTGACTTAAAGATGCTTGACGTTTTGATTTATGTTTTGTTAGTAAACTAACTTAAAGATGTTGGGTAGTGAACAGAGGAAGAGGAGAGGCTGTGGTTGTTGTTATTATTATTTTTTTTTTAAAGTTTTGTCACTTTATTAAATTGATTCAATGTTTTAATTGATGTTTTGTCACTTTTGTTTTATGTCACTTTTTTTTAGTGTTTGTCACTTTTTATTGAATTTTTATCACTTTTTTAGTGTTTGTTACTTTTTTTTGTCAATTCTTTAAAATCTCTATCATTTTTATTGAGTAACAAACATCATTTTTTTTTAATAAAAAAGTGATATCGTGTCACTTTTTCAGCGTCACTTTTTTTTTTAATTGTCACATTTTCAATTAAAAAAGTGACAATTAATTTTACATAGTATTTTTTACTTCTAAAATATTTTTCATATGATTATTCAAAAGGCCCTTAATTTTAAAAGTATTTTTGCAAACTGCCCAATTTTTAATGGGCAAATATATTACCACCACGATTTTTATTTGTTACACCACGTTATAAACACACCCACAATTAAAAAAACATTTTGAGAAATACACCACAAATAATTTACAAAAACAACCTAACCCAATTAAAAATGAAAAAAAATCAAAGTACACCACATATATCCCTTTCTCAATATTACCCTTTTCATTTCAACCCGCTCCCCATGGCTCTCTCTTCCTCCACAAGACATTTGGCAATACATCAAAGAAATCATACTTTTCTTTTTCAACAACTCATTTGCTCCCTATCCAATTCCACTCTTCTTTTTAGCGTTTGTTTGGTCCCCTTTCTTCCTAATTTTTTTTTCCTCAATTTTTTCAATAGAGGACAGCAGGTGGTAGGTGAGGCTGACAGATTCCTGATAGTGATCGTACCACCCACAAGAATAAAAATGGTGTGATAAAAGTTATGGATTTCTTTTGCAAAACTGCCCTTGGATTTTCATCTAGTGGGGCCCGGCTTATCATTTCATTCACATGCTACACTTCCAAATGATCATTGATTTTGAAGACCATTTCCAACCGTGGTGGTTTTAAGCAAGCAGTTGTCGGCATGTGAAAATAAAAATGGGAAATAACAGTATACGTTCCAATCTCGTAATATTTTCCGCATACCGTGACCAAATCGAAATTGTTAATTCCTCATTTTTTCCGATTCACCGCTGTAGGGAAATATTTTTTTTGCTTGTATTAGATTCTCGTACACTAACTTCGAAACTCGTAATAGTTTGATAATAACTATATCTAAACAGCTAAAAACTCCATGATTTACGTTATTAATAACCACACACATGTACTTAGTGACATACTTAATGACAAGAATAAAATTGAACACAAAAACTAACGTATAATTTGTGCAATATAATCACGCAACTGTTGCCATGGAATATCTTCTTCGACTATTGCATCTTCCTGGGCGGCAATCTCATCCTCGGCATCCGGTAGGTCTATCTCAACTTCGTCATCGTCCATTTCTTCGGCTCTCATAAACCCCTCATCCAATTGACCGTTTCTTCGTAGAAAATTATGTATTCCCATAGTGGACACCACCACGGCCACTTGCACTCGCATACTGTACGCAGGCATTCTATCAATAATCTTCCATCTCTGTTTCCAAACACCAAAAGCACGTTCAATAACATTGCGACATGAGGAGTGAT